ATAATAATAATAATAATTCCTTTGTGATTAAAATCAATAATATAATAATAATAATAATCGCGTGGATTCGACCGACGTGTCAACGTTTACATACATTTTTTTTTTTTTTTGTTAGTCTTTTTTAGTCTCTCTCTCTCTCTTACAAACGATTTCAAATTGTAGATTTATATATATATATATATATATATATATATATATATATATATATATATATATATATATATATATATATATATTACGTCACAAAAGCCCACAACAGCAACAGAAAAATGGGGGGGGGGGGGGGGGGAAAAACCAATAAATCCGATTTATTTTGAAACTAAGTGAAAAAAAAAAAAAAAAAAAAAAAACTTTGTGCTCTTGGGCCTTTTTTCATAAACTCCTTCGGTTTTTGTCTCTCACAGTCGAAATTTTTGTTCAATCAATCAATAATCGTTTTATTTAATTTTATTTATTTTTCCGTTTGTTTGCTTGTTTGTATCAAAACAAACATCTCTTTTTTTTTATAACAAAAACAACAACAACAACAACAAATTAACCGAATTAATTTATCCAGTTAATTTGGTATCAGATAAAAAACTTATATATAATTAAAAAGTTTAATCGAATCAATTAATTTATCACTATTATCATTATCATTATTATTATTATTAATGAAAATTCGTTAGTTTTAAATTAATTTTACATAGCATTAATAATTAATATCAATTACAATATCATTTAATTTTTGACTTTTCTTTTGTTACTCAAACGCACACGCACACACGCAGCATCCCAAAGAATCTTTAAATTGAATTTTAAATTATTGTTCAAATAAAAAAATCACAGTTTTATTATCATTATCATTATTATCATTATTATTATTATCATTATAAATTATTATTTTTTTTAAAATTTAATTTTTTTTTTTTTTTTTTTTTTTTTCTTTTTGTTTGGTATCAGCTGACTATTTTCTCATTTCGTTATTAAATATTTATTTTAGTTTTTTAGTTTTTTTTTTTTTTTGTAAAAAAAATCAAATTAAAATTTGATTAATCGATAAATTAAATTATTGATCGATTATCGACTATCTCTATTAAATAACGAACGATTAATTTTTTATTAAAATATAAATGTCAAAACACCAAAAAAAAAAAAGAAAAAAGAAAAACGTTAAACGTCACGTTAATTAAGTTAAAGATCATTACAATTTAAACGTTTAAAGGAGAGATAGAGAGAGAGAAAGAGAGAGAGATAGAGAGAGTGAAAGAGAGAGTGAAAGAGAGAGAGAGTGAAAGAGAGAGAGTGAAAGAGAAAGAGTGATAGAGAGAGAGAGTGAGAGAAAGAGATAAAGAGGTAGAAAGAGAGAAAGATAGAGAGTGAGAGAAAATGGGAAATTTGATAAAAATGGATAAAAATTGTTTATATATTTTCTGTTGGAAAATCTCGTAGAGACGACAGTGAAAAGCTCTCAAGTTTAAAGGTCACGTGAAAATCATTCAAAGATGAAAATTTAATAAATAAATAAATATTTAAACATGGTGTTTTATGAAATTAAATATTAATTAAATATGGTTAAAAATAATTTTAATGGCGACCGATGAAAACCCCCTTCATTTTTTTTTCTTTTTTTTTTTTTATTAACTTTAACTGTACTTTAATATAAAAAAAAAAAAAAAAGAAAGAAAATTTCGTGACGTTTTCATTTCCGTTTTGTCTCGAACTTATTTACCTGTCTCCTCAAATTTAACTTGAATTTTTAAACTCCCTTCCTACCCTCCCCCCCTAAGTCGGTGATATGATAAAAACGTTGAAAATTTTAACGGAAAAGTTTTTTTTTGACCGGATATGAAAAGTTGAACTTTTGATCTTTGGTTTTTTTTTTTCAACCTCTATAACTTTTCCTCTTTTTCTTACATAATAATAATAATAATAATATTAATAATATTTTCTTATTCTTTTTAAATGTTCGATTTTTAAAGTTTTTTTTTTTTTTCTTTTTTTTTCTCTCTAGAAAAAAACATTAAAATTTTTATAAATGATAAAGTGAGTGAATTGGAAGGGGGGAACGTGGAACAAGAATAATGATAAATAAGTAAACATTAATTTTTTTACGGTGTGATAAAAATAATAATAATAATGTCGTGGTA